GCATACCTGTGGAGGCGGATTGAATGCATTATATGGCACAACTGGCAGTTGGTGAGAGTAGCTGACTACAATTGCATTTGAGAAGATTTTATACATCCTCTCCTTCATGATTTTGAAATCCAGGGAGTCTGGTTCTTCACGGTTGGGATCATGTTTGCCGTCGAACTCGAATGCTGTGCGGGATCTTTCCTTGATTGGCGCCAGTCGGCATTTGATGAAGTGCCGAGTGATTTGCTCTCCCTGTAATCCTTGTTCTTTAAGATTTAACATACGATCCAACAACTCCAAGGCTTGTACTGCTTCATCTCCGATTGGAAGAGAGTTCCAAGTATCTTGGTACACTGGAGGAAGACAAGTGTACCCGGGAAGAGCAGGCTCGGGATTCTGAACATAGAACCAGTTTGCATGCCATCCTTTGTTCGAAGTCTTGAAGGGCATCGAGAAATATTTTTGGCTCAGAGTTCCCCTTAGTTGGAATCCTGCCCCCCCGACTACACACGGTTTGTTCTTGTTTGGTTGGGGCTTGAGGAAGAAGATCCGGCGGAATAGGGCAAAGTGAGGTTTGATCCCTAAAAAGGCTTCACAAACATGGACGAAATTGGCGATATGCACTATGGAATTCGGGTTTAGGTGATGCAAGCTGATTCCATAGAAATTCAAGATCCCGCGGAAAAATTTTGAGGTCGGAAGAGCAAAGCCGCCGTAGAAGAAATGCGAGAAGACCACGATCTCATGTGTATCAGGGGTCGGAAAAGCCTCACCGCACGCTGGCCGCCACCCAATGATCTCCTTGGCTGGGAGAACGCCGTGCGCCACCATCTCCTTCAAGTTCTCTTCCGTTACGTCGGATGGCGCCCATTGGCCTTCAAAGCTTTCTTTCTCCTCCGCCATCGATTTTACCCGAATGCGCTGATTTGATTTGATGGATGGCTTGGGAGAGGTGAGGAATTGAGGCGGTGGATCACGGGAAGGATTTTGATGTACTTTTCGAAGGTGGATTTGGGTGGATTGGTGAACCCTAGTTCGCCGGCGCAGTTCTGCACTGTAGCAAGGAGTGGGGAAAATGGCGAGAGTTCCGGCGGGGAAGACGAAGCGTCGCTTGGATATCGGATTTTCCAGTTAAGGGTATCGGAGGTACGAATGGGCCTAGGCCTGAACAGTACCTCAGCCCAATATTTTTAACAGCGTGGCCCATTGTGTTCCTTAGGGACTTAGGCATATTTTGCTTTGGCAATATTATGCGCACAACAGTGTTGCCCAATGCTGATCAAATCCTTTTTATGCGGTCATATAATTCTTTGGAATTATTGCAATGCAAATTAAAAAGGTGCCCGACAGAAAGGCGTTATGCTGTTTTTGCAAGCTTTTTTAGGCTACAAAAGCTGTTTGGGTTAACTAGGAATGACTTGTTTTTATTATAGTCATTTCCTTGGCGTGTTATATGCCTGTTTCCATGGTAAATAGTCATGGCCTAGGCTATTTGACTTATTTATTACCATAATCTTTATAATACTTGGTGGGTAATCTTTAGAGTTTTTATATTCGGATGCCTGTCAAGTGTGTTCATTCGTGAACCTTTTAGAGTGTACACCACTCGGATTTCTTTTATTGTGGCTAAAAAGCAGTCGGCTAGCATGCCTATTTAGGTGTCGCGTATGCTTTTGTCATATAATGCACAAATTGTGTTATTATTTTGTCTTTCAACTATATGTTTAGTTTGTTAACTAATCACATAGTTGGGGGCTACACCTAATTAGGTGCATCTATTCGATGCACCATATTCTTTATCTTTTCGCCCTTTACAGTCTTCGTCTTCGCTACTCGGCAGGCCTTGGCATGAATAATTTGAAGCACTCGGATTACTATCTTTGAGAAGGCTATGATGGTCGACTGCAAAGGACTCGGGGGCTACTGTGGAGATTATGGGTATCCCATATCTACACGGCGACGGTATTTGGATTGGGTACCGGATACTTAATGTAGATAGAATATCTTATCTGTATCTCGGGTTTGTTTCTTAACTTGTGTATCAAGGAAACACCCTGAGACTTAGTCGGTTACGACTGTATTTTACCTGTATCTTCATATTCCGTTAGGAATATAGATTATCTTTTGTAATCCGGACTCCTTCCCATATATAAGGGGGGTCCGGGCGCCTCTAGGGGCAGATGTTGATTTTTCCCAAATCATACAATCAATAATACACTCGGCGGATTCATCCCCGGACAGGAGTAGGGTATTACTTCTTTATAAGAAGGCCTGAACCTGTATAAATCCTTTGTCTCCAAACCCATACACTTTTCCAGCTTGATAGCCACCCCCTTTTATTATTGCCGAAATCCAGTTTCGACAATCGGTGGTGACCTGGACTGGTACAGTGGAGCCTAGTAATTCATGCTTGTTCATTCATTCCAAACATTTTTCTGTTCTCAACTAATTTGTGCATCAATACTGGAAGAGATCATGGCCATCGACAAAAATTACAAAATTGATGACATCGAGGTTGAAGATATGATAAACTGATAGATGCACCCAAATTCAGAAAAACAATTACAGAGAGATTGATCCGTAGGGGCACATAACATTGGAGCGACAAATTAAATCATCCTAATCAATGACAAACAAAAACATCTCCAAGGCACTATGATCACCAAAAATTACTCGATGAGGCTAACTAATAAGGCTAACTAATAATTATTAAAGAATTAACATATACATCACTTGTCCCTTCTGATAGTGGGCAAATACCGTAGTAACATCTGCCCTTTGGACCTGATCCTCTGCACGTGTAATTCTTGACATTTTGCTTGGTGAATTTCGAGGAGAGCCAGCAGCACCCACGACGAAAGGCAACTACTCCAAAAGTTCCCAAAAATTAATACAAAGCTCCGTGTAGAATTTGGCCCCGTTGCAACCGTCGAATGTTGTGAATATACGTCTCACTTGTCGCTTAATATTTCTTTTTAGTAAAATACACGGCCGGTCCTTAAAGTTGTGCGCGGGTGTCACTTAGGTACATAATCTTGTAAATTGCACATCTAGGTCCACCATTTTGTTTAAGTGACTCATTAAGGTCCAAACCCGGTTTGACCGAAGCTGACCATCTACATTGCATTCAGTAGAGCCCTGGGCACCAAAAAGAACCCCCAAATCCCTCAGCTGCCTCCGTCGTCACATCGCCCACCGCCGCCGCACGTCATCCTCATCGTCAGCCCCTTCGCTGGCCATGTCATACCGATGGCTGAGCTGTTGCGGCGCCTAGTCGCACACCACGGCTGCACCGCCTCGCTTGTCACGTTCTCCGGCCTCGCCTCGCCAACATCAGCGTCCTCCGTCGCCGCTATCGTGGACCTCGACGAAGCGACGCATGATTGCCAACGACGCAGTATTAGAGGGGACGAAGCGAGCGGCGGACGAGCTCGAAGATCAGGACGCCGCGCCGTCGTGGACCTCAAATCCTTCTTGACGAATGGGCGGCGGGCGGAACGGTGGAGGGCAAGCGCGGCGGCGGGGTGCGAGCGGAGCAGCGACGGGCGAATGTGGCAGCAGTTGGCAGGCGGCGGAGGGAACTAGAGGAGAGCTTGCGGAGCGCCGTCACTGTCTTCGTAGCTAGCGTGCCGGTGGCGCTCACGCCTCACTGACGGCCAGATCCATCGGTCTCCCTTCCCGCTGGTCGTTGGTGCTAGAGGCGTCGGTGAGCTTGGCGCGCGCGGGGGAGGTGTCGCCGGCCATGCCCGGGGGGAGGGGTCGCCTACCGCGGCCGCGTGTGTGGGGGAGGCGTCGGCGAGTTCGGCACGAGCTGGGCGGGTGCGAGCTCCATGGCGGCAGCGGGGCGGCAGGGCAAGCTTGACTTGAGCAGCTGCCGCAGCCACTTGTCGCGTGCACCCACGGCTGGCTAGAGCGGGGGCCTTCCCCTTCCCCTGCTCCTTCTCCTTCCCGTCGACGACGGTGTGCGGTTTCTCTGGGCGCTGCGCAACACCGGCGAGCGGCTGCCAGAGGGGTACGAGGCACGCCAGCGGGCGCAGCGTGGTTGAGACAGGTGGGTGCCGCAGGTGTGCGTGCTGGCGCACGTTGCCGTCGGCGCGTTCCTGCATGCGCCACGCAAAGAAGGGATTGGATCGGACACGGGGAATCAAAAAGGAGGGCAAAATGCAAATATGTTGCCACGCTGGACCGCCACGTAAGCCAGTCAACCCGGTCAGAGGTCTTTTGGACCTCAATGAGTCACTTAAACAAGATGGTGGGCCTAGATGTGCAATTTACAAGATTATGGACCTAAGTGACACCCGCGCTCAACTTTAAGGACCGGCCGTGTATTTTACTATTTCTTTTTTAGAATTTGACTTGTTGCTTAAATATTTATATATAGTTGATTGCGAAAGAGCACCACTGCACAGTCTGACAAGCATGGGCATGTGATTTTTCCCAGCTGACATTCCTCCGGCCATCTAATTAACAGACGCGTTTTTTTTTTCGATATATATAGGTGATTTCGTACATGTGCATTACAATCTGGTGCATGAGCTTGACAGGCTTGATTGGTGTGGAGTCAACGGTTTTTGATATGTGGCGCCATTATTCGCTTCCACATGGACATTCGATCAAGTGAGCGGCTGAGGGGGTGTTTAGATCTAAAGTTTAGATCCAAACTTCAGTCCTTTTCCATCACATCAACATGTCATAAACACACAATTTTTCAGTCACATCATCTCCAATTTCAACGAAAATCCAAACTTTGTGCTGAACTAAACACAGCCTGAATTATTGTTGGCTGAGCTTTTGTTGCCATGTTAGATATGCGCATCATACGCTACATAGATTCTTTACTAAGTTTCTCTGAAACTATTACACACTCATCGTACTTTTTTTTTTTGTTTTAAGACTCGCCAGTAGGCTCGGCTTCATATTATACTAGATGCTGGGGCGCGCCAATGGCGCGCCACCTACACATAGATTGGTTGATTACTGTAGACTAATCATTTGTTTTCAGGCTGAATCAATGATTATGTAAGGAAAAAACCCACGAATACATTTGCAGGGGATGCTGTTGATGAGTAATTTTGCATACATCGTTGTACAGATTCTACTGAGAACAAAACTCTTACACATTACAATCTAAAGATGAAGCACCAATGCATATAAAAAATGAAAATAAAGTTTTACATAATGATCGGAGTAATGTGTCCATGGTGATGGTACAACTATATTTGATCATACAAATCTACCAGTCAAAAGAAGACATTGTGGCAATAACATTCTCCGCTGAAAGGTTCACATCTGGAGTACTAATTGCAATGGACCTGTTCAAGCACAATCCATCAGCATTAAATGAGTTTTAAAAAAAATGTTTCGGAGGATATTTTCAAATCAGTATCAATGGAAGCTCATAAGACACTTGTTAATTGGATTTAGGAAGCGTGGCAACATAATATTTCCATTTTACTTCTCAATACAGATAGTTATATCAAGTGGTACAGCACGATACTACAGATTTGTGTTTATCACATGGAAATGCAGTGAGAGCAAAAGAACTCTAGAATAGATTGATATGGAATTAAGCATGAAGGGTAAGAAATTTACAGGATAATCAACTAATAATTATCCTTCACTTTTTCCTACACTAAGGCAAAGAAAATGTGTGTAAATCAAATTGACTGTCACTGAGAAGATGATATTCTGTCAGTCAAAAACGCTAAAAAAATACAATAGCAATGCAAAAGTAAACACCTTTCATCGCTTGAGTTGCCTGAAGCTGAAAGCCATTCAAGATCCAGAAAGTTTGAATCACCAGAATGAATGCAACTTTCAGTTTCAACACCTAGAACATGATGTATCTGAGGTACCATGGGAGTATACCTGTAGCGAATTTTGAGAGAGGAATGTTAGTACTCCACTATTTAAAACACCATGCTTTTTCATGATTTTCTAGGAAAATACTTGTATGAGAAGAATGAAAGTCAAAACCCTGAATGAATAGAAACCAACCTTAAGTTTGATACCTCACTTTCAGAGGTCAATGAAATTTCATTGCCATGTACTGAATTAGATTCCAACACTGGAAATTGTGACCCACTTTTAACATCAAGCAATACTACATTCAACAGCTCCTTGTCTCCATTATGGCAACCACTACATCCAGATATGGATGTGTTGCTTTCACAAAGAATGTTGCCATATGATCTCACTCTTTTTACTGTATTGTGGAATTAAAGAAAACAGTATAAGAACCCCTTACTGTTTTACAATGTGCATATTTCAATAAGGATTATTTTTGTTTTCTTCGAACGTAATCAGCAGGGAAGCTACAAAAGGTAATACATGGCTAAAAGCTCTAGTTTTAATAGGAACAAACATCCTGCTACAGTTCAAACACGTTTTGGAATAGCAAATCAACATAACATGCAACTCCTAACTATGTTTTCACTACTGCGTACCATTGACTCCTGTACCATGATTTTTTTTTGCTACTTACTGTTTTTTAACAATGCTTCAGATGACCTCTCTTTGCAGAGAATATTTTCAGAAAAAGATCACGGTACAGATAAATTAGACGAATGTCCATCTAAAATGAGAAATATAACACCATATGAAGTCAAGCAAAAGGGCAAATATATTCTCTACTGAAGTTAAGTAATAGAATAGCAGTGCAGAATCCACCAATGTCCTTCAATGAGATGCCTTACTGCAGCGTATCATTGTCCAACTGAAGCTAAGCAGGTTTGTCAATATAAATGTTGATTTCATAATAAAGAAAATCATGCAAGGAAAGTTCTTTTATGGGTGTTAAATAATTCATAGTGGAAGTCTAAAAGATAAGAAAAAGGAAGCACTTTAGTGAGCCCAAACGCTACCTAAGCTATTAAAGCTTAAAATCAAATGTTGTAATTCCCTTCCAGGCAGCCATGACAACCAACGAATATCACTTCTCCGTGAATAACCCAATTAAACCATTGTTCCTACTTTAATCCACGATCGCCACATGGGAGCACCAACCGTTTATCCTGCCTATTCAACTGTGGGTTGTTCTTAATGATTTTGACATTTATTGAAGATATCACCTGGACTGCAGAGAAATTAGGAGAAGTTTGAACAAAGAGCCACATATGTTCTAAAGATCACTTTGGAGTAATTGATCATCTTGATTCTATCACTCACTGGCAGTGGCAAGGTTGCAATTTAAAAGAATTTCAATAGTTCTCGCTTTTATTTGAATCGGTCATTCATTAACTTAAGGAAATGCATCGGTAGGTGGTGATTGTTCAATTGATGTAGCAACATAGATGCTAAAAATGGATTCATCTAGTCTTAAGGGCATTGCAAACAATTATTTGCTCGTGGAAAGGTTTAGAAAACCATTTTGGTTTATGAGAAAAGCTTCCAAAATAATTAGGAATCAGAATCATTCAAGACCAACACAGAAAGTGAAGCAGCCATACCTCGTCATAGGGAATGATGATAGAGGAACGGAGGAAAACATCCTACAGGTAAACATACATCATATACATCAGAAGGACAAACGGTATAACCACCAAGCAAATGTGTAATTTTCAATGCATATATGCAAATCAAATATATATCTTTTTGGTAGATTTTTTTTATAAAAAAAAACATTAACTCGAATAAAAACCTCTTAGCTTCAACCTCCTAATTTGATTCGCACTGTAATCCAAACATACCATCTAGCATCCTTATAACTAAATCCAAATAACCACCATCTAGCATCATTTCGACCAAATCCAATTTTGCTTTAAAAGGTTAAATTTCAACATACAATACAAGATATGCCACCAGCTGTAGAGTAAATAACAAAAAAAAAAAAAAAAAAAAACAGGGGGAAGATTTCAGTGCATCCATGTAATAGTATAGACTGATAGCCATAATTGTTGCAAACTCACAACACAAATAATAGCACGGTTGGGGAAAGTTTTAAGACACAGACCATTCTTCTGATAAGTGCTTGACTGCCCGGACTTGTAGTGAGAGTGGAAGAAGCACACAACCTGCATCAATCATCACCAGGAAAAATCCATCATTAGCACAACTGCACAAGTCGCAATTGGCAGACTCTTAAGAGAACTTCCCTTGAACAGTGCATCGAACAGGGACTCACTGAGAAGTAACAATTGGCTGATGGCACCCAGAGGTTGGAGCTGCCAATGTCGAAGATGGCGGTGAACTTTTTATATTAGAAAATGCCATATTCAAAAGGGAAAAAAATAATTGCCAGGTTGAAATTTTAAGTATTTCACAATATTTATGTAGGGTTTATTTTGGTCTTACAGATAAATTACTCTCTTGGTGTGACTGTGACATCTAACAACCTTCCAATTGCAAGGATACACATCTTGTTCACGCCAGTTGAGGAATATCCCATCAGAAGTTGTAACTGCCTTCTTGAAGGCAAGAAGTGCTTCATCTGTAGGAAACCATCAAAAGAATCATAGTAAATGAGCACAGATTGTCTAATGTACCACACAAATACCAACCATAACTATGGACTGTCACATACCATCTGAACTTAGTGCACTTGCTTCACGAGCACCAAGGTGCAGAATTAACAAAATTAAGAGGAAACTGGGCTGTTTTCTCAGAAAAGAGCCCATTGGTCACCAGTTGGTGAAGCATATAAAGATCACCTCAGCTTATTACAGAGTTCATGTGTGAGGTATACTATGTGGATCCTCTTTTATGGGAGATGAACTCCACATGTAGATGTGGCCCTGATGAGGGAGGCAAATTGCTGGCACTGTAAGTAAAAACAGGAACATATCAGCAATCATGCAAAGTTATCAAATAAACAGAGCAGCAATAATCAAATGCAGTACACTGTGACACACTTATAGCTCTACCTTAGCAAAATGGATGACCATAAGAACCAGGAATGACAATTTATTAATAAAAGAATTTCAATGTGCTTCCACAAAATTGTTTCAGGGTAATTGAATTACCTAGAACATGCAATTTGAAATTTCCCCAAAAATTCTAACAAAAACAATTTGGACAGCGTTTAATTTTGAAAAACAATTTAGTCACCCCAATTACTGTTTTGAAAAACAATTTAGTCACCCCAATCTTTCAGTTACCTCTGAAAAAGAAAAAAGGGACCAGCCTAGTTAGCCGAAGAAACAACAAAGCAGTTACTAATTCCAGCTCGCAACCACCAAAATGCAAGGACGCATCCAGTCATCCAGAGGACCAGAGCTAAAGCCGCCGCAACTGCCGGCCCCGACGCCACCAAGCAAAAGTAGGGTACAGCCACAACCCAATCCACAAGCCTCCGCGACGCTACTGACACTAAACCGAGCACACCAGTTTGAGCCGCCCAAAATTGCAAGCTCGATCGCGCACAACACAACTCATTAAATCCACCACCACCAGCAATTGGAAATGCAGCAAAGCAGAAACGGCTTAAGGCGAGGAGCGAGTTATAACCTTGACGCAAAGGACGCCGTCGATCTGGATGGAGACGTTGTCCTTGGTGATGGCGGACTGGTCAGGGATGGGGATGGCCTCCTCCTTGAGCGAGTGGACGTAGGCGATGTGGTCGACGAGGGGGGCGAGCACGTCGATCCCGGAGCCGAGCGTCTTGACATACTTGTCGAACAGCTCCACCACGAACGCCTTCTTCTCCAGCACGATGCTCACCCCCCCCCCAACCTCCCCCAACAGTTCACCGCCGTGCTCAGCACCACGTACCTACACAAGGCACACCACCACCACCACCCACACATCAACCACCCAAACCAAAACCAAAACCAAAATGACGAGGAGTAGTAGTTGGGCGCTGACCTCGAGACGTCGTCGCGGGAGAAGGAGCATCGAGGGAGGGGGTGGGACGAGAGGGAGCGGGCGGCAGCGGCTAGGGTTTCGGGGGCCCGCGATGGTGGCGGGGGCGGTCGACGGCGACGGGGAAGCCGGAGGCGGCGACGTCTGTGGCGGCGCGAGGCGACGGCGACAACGGCGCGAGGCGGAGGTGGCGGCGCGAGGCGGAGGTGGCGGCGCGAGACGGCGGCGGCGGGAGAGGGAGAGAGTGGGGGACGAGGGGGAGCGAGCGGCGGCGGCAGCAAGGGTTTGAGGGGCGATCGACGGCGACGGCGACGCGAGGCGACGGGGAAGCCGGAGGCGGCGGCGGCGGGAGAGGGAGAGAAAGAGGGGAGGACGAGGGAGAACGGGCGGCGGCGGCTAGGGTTATGGGTGGTAGGGTTAGTGGCGTCTTCTTGCGAAAAAGCCCCTCGTTTTCCACTTTTTAGAGCACAGTCCTAATTCGTGATTTTTCTTTCCTTCACATGAAATATTCGTACTTTATAAGGACCTCTACGCAAAATATCGTCTCATAGGTACTATTTTCTAGGGACCTATATCGAATTACACAAAATCGAAGGACTTTTTCACAAAATCGCCACCCCGCGCACTGTTCCTATCCTACGTGGACACGCCGAGAGCTCTCCCCATCTGCCGCACTTATAATATTTTCTAATATTCCAGCTAGCGTGGCGCGTCGATCGTTAGACTTGATAAATGCCCGTGTAAAAAGGTTAGCAGCCTCTTGCAAAAATCGTTTTTGTACCAGTGCCAACGGTGAGATATTATTTTGTGACTGGTGGTTGAACTAACATTTGTTTATATTGGCCACTAGCTTAGACAGAAATGCTAACCCAGCTGTTAGGGATTGCTGGCTGTTAGTACGACATCAACTATCTGGATATTATCGTATCTGTTTTTTAATATATAACGTTGTTGACTTTATAAACGTTTGATTATTCATCTTATTCAAAAATTTTATACAAATATAAGAAACTAAAGTCATGCTTAAATGACATTTGACAATAAATTAAGTCATAATAAAATAAATAATAATAACATATTTTTTAAATAAGATGAATATGGTTAAACTTATTTTAAAAAACCGATGACATCATATATATTACTCCCTCCGTATTTTAATGTATGACGCCGTTGACTTTTTGACAAACGTTTGACCTTTCGTCTTATTCAAAAAAAATTATGTAATTATCATTTATTTTATTGTGACTTGATTTATCATCAAATGATCTTTAAGCATGACATAAGTATTTTTATATTTGCATAAAAAAAATTGAATAAGACGAATGGTCAAACGTTGATTAAAAAGTCAACAGCGTCATACATTAAAATACGGAGGGAGTAAAAAGTGGAGGAAGCACTCCCTCCGTTTCAAAATATTTGACACCATTGATTTTTTAGTACGTGTTTGACCATTCGTCTTATTCATAAAATTTAAGTAATTATTTATTCTTTTTTATCATTTGATTCATTGTTAAATATACTTTCATGTACACATATAGTTTTACATATTTCATAAATTTTTTTAGGGAAAATTTGAACCATGCCACATAAATTTTGCAAAATTTGTAATATGCCACCCTGACCCACATGTCATTGACTCATATGGGTCCTACATGTCATTGAGATACAGGTGGCATATCTCAAATTTTGCAAAATTAGGGTGGCATGGTTCCAACAAACCCATATTTTTAGAGAAAATTTGAAGAACGGTCAAACATATGTGCTAAAAAGTTAACGGTGTCAAACATTTTGAAACGGAGGGATACTTTGTTCCTTCCTATGTATAACTAGCTTTGCCATCTAACATGCATGGTTGATTTTTTTTTTCCTACGTATAGCTAGTTTCGCCATCCAACATGGTTATATATTTTTTAAGAATTAACATGGGTATATATACACACACATATACATATACATGTACATGTACACATGTACATGTACATGTACTGTACATGTACATGTACATGTATACATATATGTATATGTGCATATATATATATATGTGTGTGTGTGTTTTGTGCCAGAAGCGCTCTCGAGAACACAACAAAGTAAAACTAAGCCGGCCGGCTGTCATGGCTGCTGCTGCTGATAATCTTCCCGCTGAGGTCCCCCACCAGGCCCACCCCCGCTCGGGGTCGGGGTGCACGCTGCTGGTTCTTCACCGCCATGGCGACACCGCCACCAACTTCGTTTGCGACGGGTGCAGGGAGCCCGGCGAAGGCACGCGGTACACCTCCGGCGACCTCGTCCTCCACACGCACTGCGCCCTCGCGGCACCCACGCTGCGGCACCCACCGGCCGTGACGCCGTCCTCTGCGACGCCTGCTACGGCGCCGTGCGCGGGCGCGGGTTCCACTACCACAGCTCCACCGGCGGCCTGGACCTGCACCCGGGCTGCGCCAAGATGCCGCTGTCCATCACGCTGCAGGAGGGCGGCGCCACCACCTTCGAGCTCCAAGAACACTGACCAACGCATGTACCTGCACGTCAAGTGCATCAAGGAGATCATGGCTGGCTTGGGCCACGGCGGCGGCGGCGGCGGCAACAACGGCGAGGGCTGCAGTAAAATGCATCATCATGAGATCATGGCTGCTGGCTCCTGCCGCGGCGGCGCCGACGCTGACGGCGAGGGCGCCGACCGTGTGAATCGTGTGATCGCCCGGCTACAAGAGCGCGCCGGCGGCGGCGGCGGCGGCGGCGGGAGCAGTAAGAGTAAGCTGGTGAGGCGCGTGTGCGAGGTGCTTGTGATGTTGATGCGTGTCGTCATCGGGGTGCTCCTTGGAGACCCCACGGTGCCATTGATAGCATTTAATTTCATAATGCCGTAGCCTTAATTTGTCGCGGATCGGTGAACACCTATCGCTTTATTGATCATATTTAAATAATTCTATTTTTTAAAAAAATATAATGAATTTTTTCAGTCTAAAAACATTTAGACGAATTAAATGTTATTCGATCTATATATAGGAAGAAAAAACTAGCTGTAAATTGTGTAGGGTACTACATGGATGCAGCTATATTACGTAGGTTGATTTAGCAAATGAATTACATCGCGGCATATATTACCACTCTAAGAAATTTTTATAACTTATGCGTAGTGGAAGTCCTATAAACCGGAAGTACATTATTGTGCTTCTCGATCTGTTAATTTTGCAGTTTTGCTGTCCTTCATTTTTTGCACGCTATTGATAATTTATGTTTGCATTTGTCCCGCGAGAGGAATGCATGATTGCGCAATGTGTTTCTTGTTAATTAAGTCGCATATATGTAAACAACTTGTGTTATTGTGCCATTCAGTACCAGGTTGTTGAGTTGTTTATATAATAAAAAGAAAAAAAAAAGAAAACCTCTCTTCGACGAGAGACAAGAGGTTGACGAAGCTGATGGGAGACTGTTAAAAGCAACACCCTCCACAAAAAAGAAAAGGAAAACGTACGAATTACCGCACCGAACTATCGCGGTCGACCGAATTACCCTCCTGAACCACAAAACCGAATTCACCTCCAACTTTGCAAACCGGACAAATACCCCCCCTCCGGCTCAATAGCGCGGCGGCGGAGGAGACGAGGCAGCAGCAGCAGCAAGGCAGGGCGGCGCAGGGGGTGGGCGCAAGCAGTGGCTGGGCGGCGAGGCAGGGCGGCACAGGGGGGGGGGCGCGAGCGGCGGCGAGGGGAGCGCGATGACGAAGGAGGCGAGGCAGCTGGTGGCAGCACCGCGCCCGCACGGCTGCGCCGGTCGCCACCAGCGCACCACCGCAGCAGGTACGCTCGCGGCTCGCACCTAACCGGTCCTTCGGCACCACGCCCTGCCCTGACTCGTACCCAGCCGCCGCGCGCGCTGCCACCGCCGCGACGACAGGTTCGACCACCACTAACACCACCACCACCACCAGCGTCTCGAGGTCGCACTCGTCCCGCCCGGGAAGCCCCTCGACAATGGCGGCCATGGCCTCCTTCTTGCACATCGGCGGTGCCTCCTCCTCGACGAGCACCTCCACCATGGCGCGCAACGCGTCGCAGTGGTAGTGCAGCACCACCTCCCTCAGCTGGTGGCAACACCACGCCCGCATGCCGCCGCCGCTCGCCACTCAGCCACCGCTCGCACCCACCCTGCCTCGTCGCCACTGCCACCTTGCCTCCTCCGCCGCCGCACTCACCTCGCCCCGCTGCTGCCTCCGCCGTCGCCCGTGATGGAGAGGAGAGACCCCGCTGCTGCCTCCGCCGTCGCCCGTGATGGAGAGGAGAGAGAATGAGAGATTGGGAGAGATAGAAGAGAGGGAGAAACTGACAAGTGGGGTCCACCTACTTTTTTATAAAAGAATTGCTGATTGGACTGCCACGTAGGATCAAAACCACCGCGGATTGAGCCGGAGGGTTAATTATCCAGTTTGCAAAGTTGGGGGTGAAAGATGTCCGGTTTTGTGATTCAGGAGGGTAATTCGGCTGACCGCAATAGTTCGGGAAGATGGTAATTCGTACTTTTTCCAAAAGAAAATGAAAATAACAGATTACACCTGGTACAATGGAAAACAAACATATTATCTCTGTCGCCCATTATCATGGTTCTTCTAGGTATCATAAGTATTGCTATTGCCGATGTTTGGTATGTGCAGTATCATGTACTTCATCCGTCTTACTAAGATGTTGCTACCGGATACTAGATGAGACATGCATATTTTAGTTTTACGAATCTAGACATATTTTAGTTTTACGAATTTAGACAACCTCTTTGGCCGGAGGTAGTAGGGGTTTAATTTTTTTTAAAACAATTTTCCTATATATTTCTCAGTAAATTCTCTCAAAAATTTATCAAATGTAAATAAACTATAATTGTAGTGTAATTATATTGTAACTCGCATATAATTAATAATGTGGCTTTCACATGGTTTTGAAGCGTCGATTTGCTTCAAGATTCGTGCATGTTGGGAAGAAAAAAAATCATAGTGCACACGCCGGTGAGGAGATCGATTCGGTCCCATGGCTTTCGCTTCACGAAAATAGCGTGGTACCATAGGATTTTTAAAATTTGCATACAAATTAAATTGTAGCTATATACAAGTTACAATGTAATTATATAATAATTGTACTATATTGCCCTGATAAGCATGTTTGCCTTGCCATGCCATGCGTGGCCATGCGCGTGCAGCTCAAGCGCTTGGATCATCCAGTCAAATATACGCAGCCGTTCCGTACTCCGACTAAAGCGAAATAATATGATCATATAACATTGTAGCACAGATCCATCTGGGGAATATCCAGTGAAAACCATCAAATAAGTGAAAACCATATCTAAAAGTTTTGTAAATTCATGAAAAAATTAGGCATGAAATATATTCATACTAAATTTAAGTCCAAACTCAACTTCATTTAAGAGATTTCTCTCAAATGAAGTTGAGTTTTAACTTAAGATTTGGTATGAATATATTTCATGCCTATACCTATCTCTAGTAATTTTTTCATGAATTTATAAAACTTTTAGAAATGGTTTTTACGGGTTTTCACTTATTTGATGGTTTTTACCGGATATGTCCCCCTTCAAAATTATTGCCAAATTAACAAATACAACTCCAAACAACTATGAGCTAATAACCAGAACAAATTACCCAATGAGACTAACTAATAATAATTGAAGAATTAGATATCACTAACCCCCGCAGAAAAAAAACGCAAAAAAAATATCACTGATCCCTTCGATCTGATAAATGGTTAAAATCTATCTGAATCAGTAATTTTTGTCGCAAATATTACAGTAGCATCTGCCCTTGGGACCCGATCCCCTGCACCTGTAACTCTTGACATTTTGCTTGGTGAATTTCGAGGAGATCCAGCAGGAGATCTTGCACATAAAACCCGCACAGAAAGGCATCTTGGTATTAGATTGCCAGCACACTCCTGCAAGAAAATTTTACCCATTAATGAGCAACTCAATTACGGTGACCTCTCACTTTATCTTTAATACACTGGAAACAATAACTTAATCACAAATTCACATGAAACATTGGTGGGTCAAGTATGAAGTAGTATATATCTACCAGACAAATAATGACTTAAAAACACTTCTTGTTTGTTTCGAAGAACACGTTATGGAAATTAGTGAACTGATGATTTAGTTTCTGTGATGACTATTCATGAAACTGGAGAGAGAGAGAGAGAGAGAGAGAGAGAGAGAGAGTTAACCTGCAGAAGTAGGATTGCCAAGTGTTAACACAAGCACAATGATCAAGCAAACAGCAGCTTTTCTGCCATCCATGGTTGTGAGCAAAAGAATGTGTAGCTATGTCAATCTTTGGGTGAATATATAAGCAGCAGCAACACCTCAGAGTTTGAATGTTTGATTACCTGCATCTTGTATGCATGGCCCTGTTCAGTTCCGAAATGATCGATTAGTAGATCTAGTCTTATCATGAGTACAGTTAGCGCCGCCTAATCAGCTATATTCCCGTCTACATGCATGGGCGCATAAAAAAGTCGGTACAAGAGGATAGGCCCATGAATTGAACAAGCAAAACAGGAGGCACAAAATAGCTAAGACAAGGTCAACGAGGAATATAAGATGGGGGCACCTATTCTGCAATCGATTGCAATTTCGGATTTGATCAGTTGATCCCATGCGTCATTAGATTTGCATCTTACGGCAATACTAACCCGAGAAAAAAAAAGAGCTTTGTGCGAAAAAACAAAATAGGATGAAGCAGCCCATTGCGCTATTTATGAAACCACTTTCGGGGGCCCATGACAAGCCCCTAATTTGATCGCTTTGGGCTTTTGGTTTTGCCTAATAGTTTGGACTAATATTTGGGCCCTTGCATCTGACATCAGCCCAAAAAATGTTGTATACTGTATGCAGCAGATATATGGCTTGAAAAAAAGGTTATAATCTAGACTGAGATTTCAGGCATTAATTTTACACAGATGCAGCTAAAGAACACCATCAGTGTCACACACAAAAAAGAGTGAACGCATGAAAATCATGTGAAGTATCAGGACAATGCCGCCTAAAAATTAGAACTCATATGTTGCACCACCTCTAGCAAAAACAAGTTCTGCTTCGCCACAAGAGCAAGCTGCTGAAAAAAATTCTTCTCTTGCTTGCTTGCACATTGATGAATTCGTATACTGCACCTAACAGAAAAGAACAAGCAAAAGCATATGAGAGCTAAATTCACATTTGTAATCCAAAATTCGATAGCTATGGTTCCAACTGCATATACTTTTTTTTCATCATCTGTAGAAAAGAGACACCCTTATCGCATGCATGTAGTAATGGACACAAAAGCAAAAATTGTCAACCAAAACATTGGTATCCCTGTTGCCTCTGACCTCTCCTCTAATTTGGAACCTGCCACCCAAATGCATCCAAGCATATAAATCTCAGATTTATCCCAAAAAAAATTCACAAAGGCACTCACAGTCCCTAGTCCCAGAAAAAATCAGATCAAACTAACATTAAAGAGCTACTGAAATCCCACGCACGGGTAAGAAAAAACCCTACCAAAAAAAATTTAGTACTGTAATCAAAAGAAGTTGACAAAATATTGCCCATTAGAGAAGACAAACGGTTATATCTGCTAACAGTTGGTAAGTAAAAAAAGCAGTCTATCCTTACTTATGCCTAGCACACTCATAGTCTAGAAAACAGAACATGTAGTAGGACGCCATGTTTTCGATTTTTAACAAGTTTGTAACTCTAAAATCAAAAGTTGTACAAATTTATAGCTAAGTTTGCATAAATTTGTAACTAAAGTTGCATACAATTTCAAAATGGCAACTACAATAACCAAGAGGGTGCAATTTGCATACAAGGGGTAAATAGTTCAGTTATAAATTATATTACCCCAGATATGTATATGGATCTACCGAAAATATTTATTCGTACAATCAAAAGCAGTAGATAATATTGTCCATTAGAGAAGAACAACAGTTACATCTGTTAACAGTTCATTAGTAAAAAAAAAGCAGTCTAGCTTTACTTATCACTAGCGCACAAGTAGTCCAGAAACAGAACAGGCAGCATGACGCTAAGTTTTCGATTTTTAACTAAGTTTGTAACTGAAAATCAATAGTTGCACAAAATTATATCTAAGTTTGCGTAAATTTATAACTAAAGTTGCATATGATTTAAAAATGGAAACTACAATAACCGAGGGATGCAATTTGTGTACAAGGGGTGGATAGTTTAGTTATAAATTATATTACCCCAGATATGTATATGGATCTACCGAAAATATTTAGTCATGCAATCAAAAACAGTAGATAATATTGTCCGTTAGAGAAGAACAACAATTATATCTACTAATGGTTCATAAGTGAAAAAGCAATCTAGCTTTAATTATCACTACCACGCTAAGTACTGTACAAACAAAACAGGCAGCACGACTTATGTTTTCAATTTTTAACTAAGTTTATAACTGAAAATCAATAGTTGCACAAAATTATAGCTAAGTTTGCATAAATTTATAACTAAAGTTGCATATGATTTCAAAATGGCAACTGCAATAACTGAAAGGGGGTACAAGTAATGCGTTGTGCAACTGAAAACTACATAACGGTAATACAAATCAAGCAAATGCAAAGCATGCTTCTATCTACAAAAATCTAAGCATTCTTAGGAACATTTTCACATTGCACTATTGGTTGATTGCAGAAATAATGATGCGCTAAATGCACCCCCAGTTCATGAACTATAGTCGCTAATGCTTTGTTGCTTGTGAGGTCTGTCAGAACTGACTGCCATCACCAGTGATGCAAAATTGTTCAGGTGATAGGGGTACAAATCAAGCACCGACAAACAAGGAACATACATGCTGCCATTAATCGAACTGCTGCTACAACATCTACACTTTTACTCCCAGTAATGTGCAAGTTTCAAAATATTTCAGAATGGGCAGAACTGAGCAATGACCACAAGCATGGTCAAAAGGATAGACAAAAGTATTTATCCACTGCCTGAATAACTAAAACGAAAAAAGTAACTACTGTACATAGCCACACATAGCAGATGATATAGCAGAACTGTTGCTGAACACTGGTCCGCTAATCCCAAATCAGACATCTATGCGCTAATCCCAGTGGTACATGTAACCATCCAAAATCATCCAAACCCTAGCAAAAATTTCTCTCTGCCCTGTAGATGCATGATGGGATCTCCTCAACCCTCCGAACAAAACGAAGAAAAAAAACTACAATTCCCCGCCCCGTCACTTGTTGTCTGTGGCTGCCACTTCCTGTGCCACTCCCTCGTTCCAGAAGCAGAGGCGCAAGAGCAAAAGAACAAATGGGAGGAGGATGGGTGGCTGATGAAGCCTAAATACCTGAGAAAAAGTCGCGCTGACCTCATGCCGCCGCTCGACGAGATGGGAGAGGAAGGTGACGCCGCCGCTCGTGGCCGCCGATGGACAAAATCGCGCCACCAGGGAGACGGGAGAGGGAGGTGATGGATTGCCTTCTCCGCAGTAATTTCTGAGATTGAGTCGGGGCAGCGGTGGTGGGGAAAAGTCATCGGCATATCTGTTCGATGGTGCACGCGGCGGACACAATTTTTTTAGTTTTTTTTAATTAAAAAGAAGGCCTAGGAAGCGTGGCCCATATCCAAAAGAGCCTCCCCACTAGCCCGATAACACGCACAAATATTGAAGCAGAATCAACGGCCAGCGTGATCGACTGATCGATTGCTAATTTGCAGGCGACTGCATAATAGCAAAAGCGATATAAGATTACTTTAGATATCGTTGAGTTTGGATTATATCCTTAAAACGCAATATCAAATATAACACGTCTACTTCTTGTATTTGCATCCTTGCCCCCGCGTCGCCCCTAGGGCAGGGACGACACGGGAGGTGCCCTTAGCCGCCGCTCCACTACAACCGCCTCCCTAGGGATGGATATCAAGCTAGCTCGGCTCGGCCTGGCTCGCTAGGATAACGAGCTGGCTCGGCTCGTTATCCTAACGAGCTAAACTGCTAGCTCGGCTCGGCTCGTTTTGAAGCTCGAGCTAGCTCGTTTGGCTCGCGAGCCAAGCAATGCAGGAGGTGGCTGGCGGCACGACGGCGTTGTCAGGCGCTGGAGTTGGGATCGATTCGACTTGGAGAAGGCTAGGAAGAACATGTGTTGGTCTGGTGCTGGTGTTGCACTGCTGCTACGAGCGGCCGGACATCGATGGGCTCCGGCGGTGGCGTGGCGAGCCCGTGACCCCTTGCGGCGGCGCCAACGAGAGATGGTGGTGGTGAGAGCGAGATACGCTGTCCAACGAAGATTGGTTGGACAGAGCTCGAGGAAGGTCTCGGGGACTGCCTCCCGCCAGACCTTTATCTGCATCTTCGGCCACTGGGTTCCACTCACCGCCATGGCTTCGTGTGCTTCTAGGAGACAATCGAATCCGGCGGCATGAGCCTGACGCCACCAGTTCCCATAGCCTCAGACTGAAGGTCATCGCATCCCGTAGCTTCGGCAGCAGGGGACGCCCGCGACTAGCAGATCGGGCGAGCGGCAGGCCGGCAAAATCAGCGGTAGAGAGGCTCCTCGCTCCTCTCAGATTCTTTTTTATTTTCTTTTCTTTCTTTTCAGGTCATCGTGTACTGGTTTATCCCCATCTACGAGCGTGAGGCTGGCCAGTGGCCCCATATGGCCACATCATGTGAACGCACCGTTGTAGCATGGCATAGTTGGGCCTAATTGGGCCAGAAGGATGGCCATTTTGGACTGGAAGACTGATGTCTTCTTGGCTCAGTTTGGCTCGCGAGCTGCTGGCTCGTTATCTCTAACGAGTTAAAATACCAGCTCGGCTCGTTAGAAAAATACAACGAGCTTGATCACGAGTCGAGCGAGCTAACGAGTCACGAGCTTTTCGTCCACCCCTACGCCTCCCTCCCCCCTCTGCCTCTTCGCCGCCCTAGCGGACCGTCGGAAACCACGCGGCCGCAAGGACGGCGGTGGTGGGGCCTTCTTTTCTTCCCTCTAGGTCGCGTAGTTCACGCCCACGACTCCGACCGTACGGGAGACGCCACGACGGCGAGGCGGCGCCGCCGGCCAGATCCGGCACCCTCCCGTCCAAATCCGGTGGTGGCGGTGGCGAGGCTGCGTGGAGGTGGCGACGTGGGCTTCGGTGGCGGTGTGGACGTGAAGGTGGTGGGATGGCCCAAATCCGGCCGCCTTCCGCCCGGATCCCCTCGAGACAACGGTGTCAGGGCGTGGCGGCGTGGAGGCGGCGGACGTCCGAGGTGTAAGGGCGGCCTCCCCGAGCGTCGCACGGGGAGCCAACCCTCGAGCCGGCGGCAGCGAGACGCGGCAGCGTGGAGGTGGCGGGGGCGACGTCTGGAGGTAGAAGGGCGCGATGACGACGACGTCGACGGTGGGCGCACACCCGCGTCGCCGTCGGTGGGAGGCAAGCGGAGACGGCGGCGGGGATGGAGAGGAGCCGACTGGGAGCAGCGGATGGTGGTAGTAGGCGGGCACGGTGGTGATTAGAGGCGTGCCCGGAGGCTCTGGGGGCCTCCGGTGCAGCGAGGTGGCGGTGGAAGACTGACAGGGGCCGTGGAAGGTCGGCGCGGATGGTGCCGTGGTGCAAGCACGGCATGGGTGGTGCGCAGCGGCAGCAAGGCTATCGTGGTGGGAGGATGGAGGCGACGGCGATGCGACTAGGTGACCCATTGCGGGAACACGGGCAACATGGTCGAGGCGGCGACGGCGGTAGCGCCATGAGGGAGGCGTCGAAGCCTGCGACGAACTTCTTTCCAGGCAATTGTCCTCTTGCAGCGGTGGCTTACCGCTGGAAGATGACCACGTTGGACGGGCTAGTGCGGGGGAGAGGGGATCCATTCTTCTCTCTGATCACCATCTCTCTCTTTCTCCAACCTAACTACGTGGATGGATTTGAAGCGCGTCGGAGGTTGAGACTCTACTTTGATGGTCGGCCGGCGGCGAGGCGTCGGCGCGGTGGCTGCGCGTTGAAGGGGATTAGCTGGTGGCTCTGTTGAATCTGACATGCACTCTTCAGTGCGGGGGTGTAGGAACTATGGGCGAAAGCCTAGTGTAACGCCCCGATTTTCGTTCGGGATTAAAAATCATTAAATAATGCATTTTCTAGAAATTAAATAAAAGTTAAATCAACTTAATCAAGTGAATTAATGGGAGAATTAAAATTTTCCCTTAAAAATCATTGGCCGGGAATATTTTGTAATATTCTTTGTGCCCTAATGTACTCTCCGGAATTTTCCGTGAATTTTCGGAGCTCGAGAAATAGTTTTAAAGTCACAAAGTTCATTAAACTAATTTAAATAAAAAGAAAAGAAAATAATTTTCCCCTTCCTTGCTTTCGGGCTCGGCCCAAATTCCTCCCCTTTCCCCTCTCGGGCTCTCTCTCTCCCTCGGCCCAGCTCGCCGCTCGGCTCTCTCTCTCTCCCTCAAGTCTGCTTTGCCTCCCCAGCCGGCCTCTCCCTCCCTCTCTCTCCGACAGGTGGGACCCGAGGCCCCACCTGTCATCGTCCCCCCCCAACCGTCTCCTCCTCTCTCCTTTCCCCCGAGCCGCCGACAGGTGGGCCCCACCTGTCGGGGTCACCCCCAACCTCCAGCCCGGGCCAGCAACCGCCATGGCCGCCCGAGCCGTCCAACGTCGCCGCCGTTTCCGCCCACCTCCTCCACCCCGCGCGCGCGCGTTTATTGGTGGGACCTCGCCGCCCACGTCCGCGCCGTTTCCCCCCACTCTCCCCGCAAAATCCGGCCACGTCGCCGCCTCCCGCGTCTCTCTCTCCCCCACGACGCCGCCCCACTTCCCCTCGAAATCCGCCGTTCCCCGGCCCTCTCCTCGCCCCCTTGAGCTATAAAATCAATCCCCGTGGACTCCTCTTCCTTTTTCCCCGTTTTCCCGAGCTCCCCGCGCCACCCTACCGCCCTCCCCACGCTGCTCCCGCGCACCGCCGCTTTCCGGCGAGCTCCGGCCGGTCGATTCAGCCGCTCCACCCACCGCCGCGCCAATCCGCCACCTCTGTCGGCTTCGCGGCGCCGTGCCGCAGCCCGGCCTCCACTCCATTTCCCCTCTCCGCCTCTGGAACACTGCCGCCTCGAGCACCACCTCTCTTCCCCGCTGCCGCCGCCTTCAGCCGGCCGCTGCTGCCGCGTTAGTCGTCGCCGCACCTCGCCGTTTGCGTCGTCGGCAACGCCATGCCAAGCTCTACCCCGGCATCCGCTCCTTTTCCCCTCCCCGCTTCCGAGGCACCGTCGCCACGCGCACCACCTCTCTCCACCGCCTTTACCACTTCCAGCCGCCGCTTGGCGCCGCTCCTAATCACCCCAATTCGCGCCGTCGCCGCCGCTCGCTTCGCAGCGCCGAGGAGCACCTCGGCCGCCGCTTTTCACGGCCGGGATCCCGCCGGAACACGGTTCCCCTCGCGCCGGTCCCTCCGGCCGCCGTCCGCCGGTTCTCGCTCGCGGAACGCCGCCGGGCCGCCGTTCCGCCTTCGCCCCGAGGAGCGCCGACGCCGAGCTTCCCCGCCTTTCCCCATCCCTCGTCGCCGCGTCCTTGGTGAGCTCCTCCTCTCCCACCATGCCTCCCTCCTCTGTCTCCCGTGCGCGCTGCCGCGCCGGTGGCCGCCGCCTGCGACCACCGGGCCGTGCGCCGCCACTGTTAGGTCGGCCGGCCGGCTTGCCGCCGCTCCGCTCGCCTGGGCCGCCCGGACCCCCCCCCTTTGCCGCGCCGCGTCGCCGCTTTCTCTCGTGCGCCGCCGCCGCGCCATGGCTCAGCCAGGCCGGCCTTGTGCCGTGCCCGTGCCCTAGCCGCGCCGCCTCGTGGCCGTCCGATCGGCTTCGGGCCGATCTGGGCCGTCCATGTGGTGGACGCGCACCCGAGGCCACGTGTGGACTTGGTCCACCATGCGCCGCCCCTTTGTGCCGCTGACGTGCGGGGCCCGCGTGTCGGCGCCGGCCGCCCCTTGCTGACGTCAGCGAGGTCCTTTTCCTTTGTAAAAATAAATAATAATTGCGCAATAAATCATTAATAATTCTAGAAATTCATTTAAATGGCTCAAAACTTCTAAAATTCATATCTAATTCATTCGAACTCCGAATTGAGCCGTTCAACTTGCAAAATTCATCTAAAATTGAGCTCTACATGTTTGTTTAGTTTTTATGTACTGTTTCCTTGGTTTTTATTAGAGTTTTTCCTCGTTTTGCGTGCCAGCGCGTAGTTCCCGTCGTTTCGGAAGTCCGCGGTCGCGAGGAAAAGAGTTCGGAAGATCAAAGTGAAGAAGCAAGGCAAGTCACACATTCCCCTTGAGCATGTTGATCCCAATTTATAAATGTTTTACCGTTTACAAATAAATATGCATGTTTTGCTAATTACATGGGATCTGGGTATTACCTATCTGCTCGCTTGTGCCATGTTTACTTGATATCTATTCTTTGGCAACCTTGGGTAATGAACCGACTAGCTCATGTTACTTATGTGACCTAGCTAGAACTATATGCTTAGCCATGCTTAATTACCACTAGCTCAGTTGATGGGATAATTACAGTTTTAGACCTTTCTAGTATCTTGTTGAGCTGCGTGCTCGAGACATCTGGCCATGCTTCATGGTCGTAATTATCCAACTAAAATGCAACTGAATGGTGGGCTGTGGGTGCATGGTTTTGCTAGTCGCACCCATGGCAGTTAAGGACCGGTTCGCGGGATGCCCTGGAAGAACTTATCGTACTTACCACAAGCCAGCGTGGGCAACGGCTGGACTTGTAGTGTATCTTTCCTCTAGTCGACGCATCCAGGCAAGGGTGGGCGTGATGGAGCGGGGCGGGCCCTGCGACGGCCTCTGTCGCTTCCGGATTCACCTAGGCACGAGAGGGGACTGCCCGTCGCCCCCTGGGGACGGGGGTGAAACCTGAGGTGTGGTGTGCTTGGCTAGAGGGGGTTATGCGAAGGGTCCTGTCACGGCCTCTTTCCGGTATGTCGTGGTGGCATGTCGGCGCACGGAAACGTGTCGTGGGGCTGTGTCTTGTGGGTACAGTTGTACACCTCTGATCAGAGTAAAACTATTCGAATAGCCGTGCCCGCGGTTATGGGCGGTCGACCAGATTCACCGTGATTAGTCCCACCTTAATAATTTGACCTAATACACTGTAGTTTAGGTGGGTTGGTTGGGCCTGTTCAACGTGGTGTAGCGTTGATCAGTGGAGATTTAATGTTACTTTAATTACTCAACAGTTTTACTGTTTTGCTCAATAAAATGTTTTACAACCGCCTTTATGCAAATAGCCACAAACCGTCCTTGTGTTCCCCTTGCACGTCTGCATCGTTGGTGTGGCTTGCTGAGTACGGTGGTTGTACTCAGTCTTGCTATTATTCCCCCTTTTCAGAAGTGTAGTGCTTCTGAGCTGAAGACGAAGTTAGAGGACCAAGGCTCAGACCCCAGTTGAGTTTTGCCTGTGGAGTGGAGCTGAAGCCCCGCTAGGATCGCCTTTTTCCGCTGCTGCTGTTTTCGTTTCGGTGCGAGGACTAAGTGCCTCTTTTGTAAGTATTTTACGCTTTATTTACGTTTGGAACTGTATATTACTTGTCGTTTTGTGTACCCTGGCTGGTCCTGGACAGGGATTTAATACACAAAATAGTCTGGAAATTTGGGCTAAATTTCTGGGCGTGACACCTAGCCTTCGGGCCGGCAATGGCGACACCTACGGGCGCCGCTTTCCCCTTAGGGCGTTGCTTTGTTCTCTCCTCTCCCAATGGGTTATTTAGGTGAAAACCGAGTCTTGGTTCTAGGACAGGCGTCGGCGGCGCTCTTGGTGTCGTTCGCCTCCTTGGAGGCATCATTTAGAATATCCATTCCTTAGGGGTATTGTGTGCTTGTTCTGTTTTAGCAATAGGATCAGACGTAGACGCGTGATGTGGCTGTCTTTTCTTTTTCCTAACTATAGTCTCCCAGGACTATAGACTTGTATTTTTTCCTGCTACATCAATAGAAACGTCGCACTATCTTGTGCAGGTTATATATATATCAACTTCCAAAAGCGGTGTACATAAAGTCCTAGGACAATATTAAGGCCGGTTTTGCATGACATGAAGCTGACGTAGCACTTAAAGTTAGGAAAAACAATACGATAGAACCCACGTGTCAGACAAAAAAACGGCCTGCTGCCACTGCCAAAACAAAAATGAAATAAAATGAAATATTTGATTTTAATTTTGACTAGCAATAGTGCCCATGCGTTGCAACAGGAAAAACACCGTTTGATAGTGTGACACCTTGAAAACCTCAAATCGGTAAAAAATCAAGTCTAATTTGATATATTAACAAATAGGTAGAACCGAGTCTAATTTGATGAATTAGCATAGGATTTAAGATTTAGTTTTAGATTTAATTTTCGAGCCTACTTAGGAGTTTATCCAACGGACTTTAATTTAAAAAATCTGAGCCACATTGTTTGATCAAATTTGCTTTCGGCCCAAGTCTTCCCAAGCCGGCCCAAACTTGGGCTGGCCCACTTCGGCGAGCCGAGGCAATTCAACGGCCCGCAAGCCGAGCATCTGAGCGTGGCTCACATATGTGGGGACGGTCTGATGCACTTTCCGCGGCGGTGGAGGCCTGACGCTGGGCAAATCTGAGCCGTCGGATCAAATGGACGGCTCCGATTCCCCGCGCTAGATGAAGCGCCGACTAGGAGAG